CAGCGCAATATCTCACTGTACTAATATCCTAATACCCTATCGCCTAATATCATCTCATAAGTCGTGGACTACGAACGTGGCCTAAGAGCGCTATTGCACGGAATCGACCCACTTGGCGTGTACTTCTGATAAGTACGGTGTAGTGTGGAAGAACTCCTGAGATTCTTCCACAATTCGGCCTGTATAGTACAAGGAAGTGGTAGGAACGAAGGGAATGGATATCCTTGCCTAGAACTGAGAGTGAGTGGGGCCCAGCGGGATGACAAAGTACAAAAAAGTAGGGAGGACGTGGACGGGATGTAGGACACTAACCAGTCCTTATCAGAACTACACTTCGAATAAGTCCTTTACATATTATTTTATCCACATTGTTAAGCTCGAGAGAATGCTCTCTAGCACTAACAATAAGGATAAGATAACTAGAAGTGGACCTCTCAATCCATTATCACCGTGACACTTGATGAGTGCAATCACGGTACCTACAGTCCATATCTCGAAGTCTGATTGGGCGTGTCACCGGAAATGACGTGGCAGCCACCGCACTTGATAGAAGTTGCGCGGATAAGCTGCTTCCAACATGCTTTGCTGATATCTGTTGGAAGCAGCTTATCCACGCAACTTCTATCAAGTGCGGTGGCTGCCACGTCATTTCCGGTGACACGCCCAATCAGACTTCGAGATATGGACTGTAATCCATTGTGAGCCAGCTGCGCAAGCAACGTCGAAAGGCTCACTATAGGTGAATCTAATAAAAATTCACATACAAAATTGAAAGAAAAACTATAGCAGACACCCACCCAGAAGACTCTCCAGTTGATGAAGCTCCCGAAGATTTCTGACTAAAGCTACTAGCACCAACGGGAGATTGCTGTTGCTGAGCATCACCACGCCTGACCGATGTGATGGAAGCCTGCAACGAGTATGAATAAGAAGCTGATGCAGTTATACCGTAGAAAGGGTTTCAGAAATGAAAGGGCAATCAAGTTAAACAAATAACCGCGTCAATACCCAAAACGTACGGGCTGTCCTTTCACGTATTGGTGATCATTCTGACTTGACGACGGCAGGCCGGAATCATCAGTGGAGAGGGTGTACTCCTCCAAATAATGATAGACCTTTGGTACTGAAATGACAGCTGAAAGTTGCCTATAAATTGACTCATATGTGTTTGATCAGCAATGCGAGCAAAGCAAAAAATTTATCTTAACAGATTTTTTGGCTAGCCTGAACTTTGGGGCTAATCGGGACATTCTTCATTGCTGTAAGCTTACCGAGATCCAATCTCCGCTTTCACGTCAAACGCTTCATGTCTTAATTTTTGTCTTCGTTACCGCTGCGTCCCTGTAGATGGCACCACAATCCACAGAAACATTACCTCGCAGCCTCTTGTTTGCCCAAGAGCAGCAGTATTACTTCATTCGACGAGCTAGTTTAAATACTAGCGCTAATATGATTGTTGTTGTGTGACTGATTTTGAAAGGACATATCACTAATCACTAAGACGCCCGTCAGACTCGGCGATTGTACCAATCGGCACAATCGCGAAGTCTAACGGACATCTGAACATTCTGTCAAAATCAATTCTATTTGAGAAATAGAAGGAGAAATCCTTCTATTTTATAAAGCGCTAACTTTGTGTGTCGGTTTGTGTATCTGTATGTGTGTGTGTGAGTGTGTGTGTATGTATGTGTGTCCGTCCGCAAAATGAAGTGAGTGAGAAGGAAGCTCATGGGATAAACAAACCGCTAACAAATCGGGTAGCTTACAGGATTTGAGATATCAATGTTTTGTAGCAGGATAGTTGTGATAACACTCTTAGGGATATAAAAACTGCTTAGCACACTTCCGTTCATTCCACATGGTGCTGCAGTGGCAGCTGGAGGGCAGTGGAGAGAGGAAGGGAGGATGAGGAAGGGAAGCGAAAAATCTACCGTCATCATGTGTCCCTTCTACTGTATGAAACACCATTGTGTTGCATACGCGTCACTTCCAGGAGGTGTTGGTGTCACAGGAGGAAGGGACCATAGCGGAGGATAGAAAGCTTGCGCAGGAAAGGAAGGTCCCGGCGGTTGACGGGGGACTAATCTGGTAATAAAAACGGGGCTCATGGAGCGAGCAATAGGAGTAAAAGTTTCTGAGCTCAAGTGAGTATTATAATGTGCCACTTCATTATAATGAGTGGTCGTACGGTATCAAAATAAAAATGGTATTAAACGCAATAGTGGCTAGAATGCCGGCAATTATCACATCACATATTGGTGGGAAGCTATAACAGAACGACATTCTGTTGGCGTGACGTTTTTTCGTCGATAGAATAAATGAAGGTTCCTAGAGTATCGACCTATTGGTATAGGTAGGTGTTATAGAGTAGGTACAATGTTTTCCAAGACAGACTGTCTCTATCAATCGATTTCCTACTTTACGTGTGTAGACACCCCCCTTACACTTTGACACTCAGTATAAAACATCATAGGACTTGAGCATAAAGAGCCGTTACCACTTCTCTGATACGATGAATTCGACGATATTCTGAGGGCGTCGATTTATGAACAAACTGTGATCGTTTATGGGCGCCTAATCTTGCTCTGAGGCCCTATATTTCCTATTGATGGTTCTCTTCGCTTCGAAGCATGGACCGAGACAGAAAGAGTTGGATTACGATTTTTACTATGCAGCTTTATATCTTGAGCAGCAGAGATAGCTGTACTTGATTGTGATTTCTGCTTTATCTGCCAGCAGAGGTGATTTCCTATACGATTTTAGCGGCGAAACCACATTGGATGATGGCTGGCTTTTTAACTAGATAAGGTTCGGTTGATGTCCTTCTTATTCAGTACTAGATTGGAAAGATATCTGTCAGGACGATCAGTCGTGAATAATCACGAAGCAATCTCCAGGTCCAGTTTATTGATGCTGGGTAATAGTCTATTTATTGTAAATGGTGGTCACGAAAGCAATCCTCACAGGTCCAAGTCTATTGATGCTGGTAAATAGCCTATTTATCGTAATGGTGGTCTAAGGAGGTTTCAAAGAGCATCTGAAATGTCTTGAACGTGTCATGTCAATGCAACAAAATCAAACAGATCAGAGGATCGAAGTAGTGATTATTTTTCGAGGAGTGAAAGAATTGCCCATTCTGGAGGTGATATATTTTATGCGGCGAAATCGAGGATGGAGCACTGAATATCAACAGATACATACAATATACATCAAAACTCCTGGTGTTTAATTAGAATTTAACAGCGGCAACCTTGTTGCCGTAATTTTTGTCCACCTTGTACATTGCATCAAGAATAATGACGTGGATAAGAATAGAGGATAAAAAAATCAGTTTTTTTTATCCCCTCCGGAATGAGCCACGCACTTCCACTTCATTAGGCATCGTAATGGTATTATGAACTGATCTGTCCTACATAGCGACTTGTGGGGCCAGCCGATGTTCAACTCTATCATGTCACACATTATCGGATGTTCATATCTACCCTACGACGTGTCGGTACACCAAACAACCGACCCTGAAGGGGTGGAAGGCTTGGGCCTAGACGGTGCACGATCCAGGATTTGATCCCAGGATCGTGTGTGTGGTAAGCACGTCACTTCCTAACTACACCGCTTCGCCCTATGAATAACGATAACAGCTAGTAACTTTCTCGATTACAAGAAACCTGAGTTCCATCAAATAATTAGCGAAGCGAGAAAGTGAAAAAAAGAAACATATGCAGACCGAGCAGAGCTTTGGTTGCTTGTTTCTGGTCAAGTTTTCACAAAAGGCCTACAAGGAGATCGGTAGAAAGTCACACAGCAAAAATCTTACCTAGGTGGTGCATTGTTCGCATGCAGCGCACCATCCGTGTGATTGCGAAAAGATTATACAAGCTCAAAATCGAGTAGCCTTTGCTAGCCCATATCCTCAAAAGGTACTCAGAAGGACTTCCACGATGGGTCAGAGAGAACTGTCTGCAACCGTCGACATCTTGTATGGTAATATCCGGCATTTTGGTCGCTGAAACAGTTTCTTTGAAACAACTACAGTGATAGGATTCCCCTGTAAGTTCGGGGAGATTGACTTTTACGCAGAGTGGTTGAAATTTAGATAACTGGTACAACATGATTGATACGATTCACGAATTTCGCCAGGGATTCATCACTTAGACTACTCGGAGTAGTTCGGACATACCAGCACCTGTGGCGAAACACTTGAACTATCCGAAGATGAAGTGGCAATTCCAACCAACTTCCACATCACCAAGAAGCCCCTTGAAGTCATGGGCAGTGGGCTTACATCACAAGTTGTCAACGGTTACCACTTCAGTTGAATATTAGGCTAGTTGTTTTGACGCATATGCCCGCGCAGGATGTGGAGCGATAAACAAGTAAAGACATACAATATGTGCAATGACACTTTCTCCCTCACTATTTTTCTTAGAAATTGAAGGATCCTGTTCCCTACCATCATTGCCGTAACGGATTCCACAACAAACATGTAATCAGATAGCATCGAGAGTGAAAAGCACCCACGATATCATTTTCGCCGCCGCCACCGCTAAAGTACCCTCGCCTTCAAATGGGTTACGGGGCAGCGGTCAACCAACGTGTGCGAGTCCAGACAGAAAAGCACATTGCTGGGACTAAGCCTTTCGAAGGAGGGAAAGAAAGCAGAGATGCTGTAATAGTGTGTATGTGCGAGAGTCCCAGAGAACACTACAAAACACTGAATCACCAAGCCTTCCGGTTGACCATTGCCCTTAAACGCTTCAAATGACCAGAAATTGTGCAATTGCAGAAATTGACGTGGCATTAACGTGGCATCGATTCAAGAACATCTTTGAGCACACGTGATGTCACCTTTTCATCGAGAATTTAGCCACGTGTGCCACGTGGGTTTCTGGCTGCTAAATTCTCGATGAAAAGGTGACATCACGTGTGCTCAAAGATGTTCTTGAATCGATGCCACGTTAATGCCACGTCAATTTCTGCAATTGCACAATTTCTGGTTATTTGAAGGCGAGGGTACCTTAGTCCGGAATTAGGATACTTCTTGATGCGGCGACCACGGCACTTTTGTGAAAGAGATATATCCGAACAGTTCACACAACAATACAAAGAATTACCTAATTCGACCCAAGTATCACCTCCATCCAGTATTCTGCTTAAATCGCGCATCACTTCGTACGGAAGAGTGTGGATGGGCGCATTCTCGTCATCATCGAATGAGTGGTTTTCCATTGGTCATGCTATATGCCAAGTTCTGTAATACAAAGATGGAAACATGCAGTAGAAGAGACGCAAGTAGAAGACAAAATTCCTCGAAAGCAATGTCTCGAGTTACGATAGTCTGGAAGACAAATATGGATATCCCAACAGAGCACACCTAAATTATTCTGGAAAGAGACTATGACGAGTAGGGAACAGACGATCAGTTTGAAGAACGGTAACCCTGACAAGCGACTTGCTCATATCTTTATACATTGCATCGCTAGTTCTCGATCCAAAAGCAAGAGAGCATTTTAGTAGCCAAACGCTCGTATCTTGGGTAGCAGGTGCGCCCCTTTGGAGCAAACACCAAAGTGTTTTAAATACTGCATCAAACGCGCTCCAATCGAAATAGAGGGGAACATGTTTATTCCTTTAACCCGTTTAATTTTATTTCGTATTGCAGTATATTTCGTCTCCGATACTCTACGACGAAACCTACGTTTTGTCCTTCGCACATCTACATTAGCGCTCCAATCCAAATAGAGGGGAACCTGTTTATTCCTTTAACCCGTTTAATTTTATTTCGTATTGCAGTATATTTCATGATGTTTCGAATAACGAGGCAAAGGCTCTGTAAACCTCGCTGTTTCTTTTCTGAACGTGGGCTTCACAATCACTTCGCTTCTTATCTTCGTAAGGTATTGAATCGCCGCCAAGACAAGGCTAAGGGTCGGGTCACACTTTGAAGTTCGAGTGTGGGAATAGATAGTATCACGTACCGGGTGTGGTTCACTAGGACAGAAAGCGACTTTTTCGCGTTTCGCAGCGCGAAACATTGTTCGTTGCGGGAATCTCGGGTCCACTGATGATTCGCTGCGGGAACCTCGGGTCCACTGATGATCAGCGGTGGACCTGAGGTTCCCGCAGCGGAAAATGTTTCGCGCTGCGAAACGCGAAAAAGTCGCTTTCTGTCCTAGTGAACCACACCCTTACGTAACAAGCGTGTGCTCGCTTGATCTACACGTACTTACTCCACATTTGGTGGGGTCTCAGGAGCCGTGAGCCTTGGCGATTCAGCGTTTTGTAGTGATGTCTGGGAACACTCACAGGTGCACACTATCACAGCATCTCCTCTTTCGTTATCTTCTTCAAAGGCTCGTCAATAGGGAACAGTGTGTTGGCGTTTCGCTTAAGTCTACCCTTGGTGCGACAGCAGGACCATGTCAACGATTTGGGGCGTCATGCATCCCTCCGAAGGGGTTGAGGGACAAAAATTCCTTTAAATTTTCTGTCTGCCCAACTGGGACCCGCGGTTGTATGACATCTAATCCTTTTGGTGTGGAGGGAACCTAGTAGTAAGTAAGAATGCGTGAGCCAGGGGGAATGGGGCCAATTCAGGGGGGTGGGGGGTGTGTGAGCCACTTAACCTGTGGCAAAAGTTTGGGCCTAAGTGTCTGGTGTCTGGCCTTGTGAGGGAGACGCAGAGGAGCAAAAGGATTAGATGTCACAGACCCTGCGACCCTGGTAGGCCTCGAGTTTTAGTTGTATAAGGTGTAAAAGTAAATGGTCACTAGAAATGAAAAAAAAAAATATATCGTTCGAACAAATAAATGTATTAAGTTTCGGACATCTAGTCTTCGGAGGAAAGAAGAAGGGACGTCCGATATCGTAAGGTAGGGTAGGCGTGGCCTATGGAAGTAATGCAGACTACAAATTGTAGTTGCCGCGGTCGACAGGTGTCTGTTATTTTTTTTTGACATCATTTCCACGATATTCGCCGGTTCTGGTGTATTCTATTCTGTACTGATATTCCGCTCGATCAGGTCCAATTCAGAGGAGGCAGGTTCAAGTTTAGGAAAAAATAATGCTCTTATCCATTTGAAATGCACGATTTTTTGCATGTTTTGCATGAAGCGGTTATTATTGCTAGACATTTGTTTTGTTTTTCATTTTGATTTTTTTTACTTCGACTTGTTCTTCATCACAGCATCTTTTTAATGTTCTCTTTGTTGTGCGGAACATTATTTGCTGCTGTTTTGAAGCAACCCGTCGCTTTTTTGCATGTCGTTTTCCAGGTCCTGCTGCAGTCGCCGTCCTTCTGCTTGTTGCGTGAGATTTCTTTTTTATTTTTCAACTTACCTTTTTGTGTCGGGTTTGTTCTTCATCACAGCATCTTTTAAATGTTCCCTTTGTTGTGCGGAACATTATTTGCTGCTGTTTTGAAGCAACCCGTTGCTTTTTTGCATGTCGTTTTCCAGGTCCTGCTGCAGTCGCCGTCCTTCTGCTTGTTGCGTGAGATTTCTTTTTTATTTTTCAACTTACCTTTTTGTGTCGGGTTTGTTCTTCATCACAGCATCTTTTAAATGTTCCCTTTGTTGTGCGGAACATTATTTGCTGCTGTTTTGAAGCAACCCGTTGCTTTTTGCATGTCGTTTTCCAGGTCCTGCTGCAGTCGCCGTCCTTCTGCTTGTTGCGTGAGATTTCTTTTTTATTTTTCAACTTACCTTTTTGTGTCGGGTTTGTTCTTCATCACAGCATCTTTTAAATGTTCCCTTTGTTGTGCGGAACATTTTGCTTTGCTGTTTTGAAGCAACCCGTTGCTTTTCTGCATGTCGTTTTCCAGGTCGTTCTTGGTGCGGCCATCGCTGTGTCTAAAAAAGCGTGGTGCATGAGGAATCGATGCAGTTCCGCTTACTGTCCCTTTTCATTTTCGCTGCAGTTTTTCTGTCACTAACAAACACTGTTTTGTGTAAGCCGTCTTGCTGTCTTCTGTGTCTTGCTTTCTGTGGTTTCCCCTGATATTATATTTTTAATAACAGCTGCACCTGAAAAGCATGTTGCACGGACTTTTTCCTCTTTCTGTCGCTTTTCATTTTCGCTGTAGGTTTTCTGTCATTAATAAGTTCTTATTTGTTGTGAGCCATATTTTCCTATGTCTTGTTTTCTGTGATGTCCTTTTCACCCTTTCGTGGTATATCAGGCTTTCCATTGGCGATAAATATATTTCACCCATGTTCTGTTTTTGCAGAATGTGGTCTCTCGACAATAAACAATGCATGTCGGTCAAAGAGATTTGTAAAGTAGTGTATGTCGCGGTCATCAATTTGTATACTGCTTTACTTGAAGGACCACTTTCTCCCTTGGAACACTTTGAAAGAGATTTTATTTAAGTTCACAAGCTTCACTAGCTTCACTCGATTAGAAACAAGATGAGCGGATCAAACAATTCCGTAAGGCTGCAGATTGTTATTCCTCCCTAAAATAATTGATAATCAAGCGGAAACTTGTTTGCAGTCGGCCAGCCGATCGCATTTGTTGGTGCAAACAGGGGAGACAGTAACAGGTGCACATGTGGGGGTGAGTAACCTCTGGACAGGCTGTACTTTCAGTGTCAAACCTTGATTAAATTGATTTGCTTTAGGAGTCTAACATTTCGTGGCCAGTTGCTGAGCAAAGTGCTCAACGCGGGGGGTGCCTCTGTACTGCATTACAGTCTATTTCGCTTGAAATGCTAGTAACTGAGGAGGCAAACTTGAGTGTCCACCCCGTGCTCGCCCCGGAAACGAAGGCCGTCATCGCCAATGTGAAGCGGTTTTTCGCACAACTGAAAGAACATCTCGGGGCCACTTCTCGTGGAACCGTTTTCGACTCAGTTATTGCGACAACTGCATTGGCGTGCGGCGTGAGTGAAAACACTGTCACTCGGGTTAGTAACGCACCGGTCCGCCCCACGACTCCGCGAGCGCCTCGCAGAGATCGCTCGCGGAAAGTGGCGGTTATGACCGCTATGAATAACCACGGTGCAGTGTGGGGCGAGCGAATAAGACGACTGGCCCACGAAATGTTTAAGGAAGAAAAGGACGTGACGATAGTGGACTTGCACCAGCAAATGCGAACATCCTACCCAGAATTTGCGTTGTCGACAATGTCATTGTGGAGGCTTATGAAAGGTCTTGGATTTTCTTACAAGATCCTCAAAGGCCAACGCTACATTTTCGAGCGCTCGGACCTTGCGCGGAGGCGATCGTTGTACTTGAGGAACATCGAGGAAGCAAGGAGGAGAGGGGACTGCGTAGTGTACATGGACGAGACGTGGGTTTTCGAGGGTATGGTTAAGAAACGAGGCTGGATGGACAACAACCTGTCGCGCTTTCCCTCCGAGGAAACCATACAGCAGTATTCCTGTGGCAAGACTGCTGGGAAGAATAAAGGGAAGCGCGGCATCGTTATTATGGCGTTGTGTGAAGGTGGAATCATACCCGGCTGTACCCGCGTTCTCGTCTGTGGACCCCGAACTGCGCAGTATTCAGAGATGGACCACACGATTTTTGAAGAATGGCTGCGATCGTCAATCCCCCTGATGAGGGAATTCGCAGCTGGTCGGAATGTCACTCTAGTACTCGACAATGCACCTTACCATACGAGGGTACTAGAGAGGGTAAGGTTAAATTTTGTACACACTATTCAGGCTGTGTAATTGTGTTCATTAGGTTCCGACCAGGAGCTCCACGAGGCAGGAAATCATGGACTACCTCGCTTCACATGGCATCGAAGTGGCCCTTGACAGTACAAGAGCTTCTCTTTTAGATGAGGTTCGTTAGTTCATCAAAATGAACTCATCTACTCCCCTGTAACGCCAAGTTTCAGCTGGACCTCTTCGTTGCCAGTCGAGGGGGAGTCTCAGCCCTGCGCTCGTATGCAGCCGAGAGAATATGTGAGGAGATGGGAGTGAGCCTGCTCAGGCTGCCTCCATTTCACTGCTTCTTTAATCCAGTGGAGCTTTGCTGGAGTTACCTCAAGCACCGACTCAACAAGTTGGGAAAACCCACAGATAGGCTGGAAACAGTAACGTTTTTCTGAAACACGTTTAAGATAGAAATGATGGAATCTAAAGGATTATTAATTTTTAGGTGAGGAATAGGGCTGTTGAAATATTGGGAAGCATACCGAGGAGCCTCTGTGAGGGATGGTGCTGGGATGCAATTAAGGAGGAGGATTCTGCACGGATGAAAGAGGCATTGGATGCCAATAATAACATTATTGGCAATGACGAGATACTCTCTCCACCAGGAATTCATCTGATAGTTCGCTGTCAGATGAGTCGCTAGGCGAACCTATGTAGAATTGTAATTATTTTTTTTCCTGATATGTTTATATTCGGGTAATACCGTGAGTTCATTGATATCGCGATACACTCGAACGGGTTTACAGCATTCTATGTTGATTTAGCAGCTATTACTATGTTGAGTTCGGGTTTTTAATAACTATCTCATTGCCTATGGTTTCTTAATATGCATTGTTTATTGTCGAGAGAC